AAGCCGTAACCAATATTTTATACATTTGACATAATATACAACTTTAAGTGGACGTCTGCCACATTCTCCATAGGCTACTGCATTTGGTAACTTATAAGAAATATTCAAAATAAATTTACAAAACTTTCTATGAACAATTTCTATACTCTCCCTCTCCATAAAACCCCATATTTCACTACCATATGTAAGAATTGGCATAGTTTTCTTGTCAAAAACTTGAAATGAATTTTCCACTGGAATATCAAATTTCCTTATCAAAGACCTTATTGGGATTAATGCTTTACTAGCTTGCTCTGATAATACTTTACATGCTTTAGTCCAAACAAGCTTTGGTGTTACCATCAACCCCAAATATTTATAAAAACTTACAGTTTCCATTTTAACACCATTATATGTCCAATTCTCATATCTAGAAAGTTTACCTCCATTCTTAAAAACTATTATTTTTGACTTATCCATATTTAACTCCATTCCCCACTTAAAACAATAAACAGCAAGCTGATCTAATCGCTTTTGCAATCTAAGAGGGGTGTCTGCTACAAGAATGAGATCATCAGCACATAGTACATCTACATTACAACACTAATAGTACATCTACAATACAACATCAATAGTAATTCTATAGAACAACACCCATAGTACATCTATAGTACAACACCAATAGTACATCTACATTACAACACTAATAGTACATCTATAGTACAACACCAATAGTACATCTACATTACAACACTTATTGTACATCTACAGTACAACATCAATAGTACATCTATAGTACAACACCCATTGTACATCAATAGTACTACACTAATATTACATCTATAGTACAACACCAATAGTACATCTATAGTACAACACTAATAGTACAAGATCTATAGTACAACACCCATCGCACATCTATAGTACAACACCATTAGTACAACACCCATAGTGCATCTATAGTACAGCACTCAGTGTACATCTATAGTACAACACAATAGTACATCTATAGTACAACACTAAAAGTACAACATCTAGGGTACAATAATCTGTAGTACATCCATAGTACAACACCAATAGTACATCTATACTACAACACCTATAGTACAGTATCTATGGTATAACACCTGTAGTACATCCATAGTACAGCACCAATACAACACCCCTAGTATAATATCTATAGTACAACATCAATAGTTCAACATCTAAAGTAAAACATCTATGGTACAACACTAATAGTACAACATCTACAATACAACACCAAAAGTAAAACATCTATAGTACAACACAAATACCACACCCATAGTACAAAATCTATGTTACAACATCAATAGTTCAACATCTAAAATAAAACATCTATAGTACAACATCTATAGTGCAACACCAATAGTACGTCTATAGTACAACACTAATAGTACATCTACAGAACAACATCAATAGTAAATCAATAGAACAACACCCATAGTACATCTAAAGTACAACAACAATAGTACATCTATAGTACTACACTAATATTACATCTATAGTACAACACCAATAGTACATATATAGTACAACACTAATATTACATCTATAGTACAACACCAATAGTACATCTATAGTACTACACTAATATTACATCTATAGTACAACACCAATAGTACATATATAGTACAACACTAATATTACATCTATAGTACAACACCAATAGTACATATATAGTACAACACTAATAGTACAAGATCTTTAGTACAACACCCATCATACGTTTATAGTACAACACCAATAGTACAACACCCATAGTGCATCTATAGGACAGCACTAAGTGTACATCTATAGTACAACACCAATAGTACATCTACAGTACAACACTAAAAGTACAACATCCATGGTACAATAATCTGTAGTACATCTATAGTACAACACCAATAGTACATCAATAGTACAACACCTATAGTACAGTATCCTTTTTGTACAACACCTGTAGTACATCTATAACCCTAACACCCATAGTACAACATCTATAGTTGGGCAGACTCATTGACTTGGTTGATGCATGTCATATGATAATTACAATTGTGTGAATCAATGCTCATGATGTCAATCACTACATTTTCTAGTCCAGACTCGATTATTTATTGACCGCCGTCATACAGCTGGAATATTGCTGAGTGCGGGGTTAAACAACAAATCAATCAATCAAAAACATACAGCAGTGTGGGTGGAGACAGCAGTTGACATACAGCAGTGTGGGTGGAGACAGGAGTTGACATACAGCAGTGTGGGTGGAGACAGGAGTTGACATACAGCAGTGTGGGTGGAGACAGGAGTTGACATACAGCAGTGTGGGTGGAGACAGCACTTGACATAAAGCAGTGAGGGTGGAGACAGGAGTTGACATACAGCAGTGTGGGTGGAGACAGGAGTTGACATACAGCAGTGAGGGTGGAGACAGGAGTTGACATACAGCAGTGTGGGAGGAGACAGGAGTTGACATACAGCAGTGTGGGTGGAGACAGGATTTGACATACAGCAGTGTGGGTGGAGACAGCAGTTGACATACAGCAGTGTGGATGGAGACAGGAGTTGACATACAGCAGTGTGGGTGGAGACAGGATTTGACATACAGCATTGTGGTTGGAGACAGCAGTTGACATACAGCAGTGTGGGAGGAGACAGGAGTTGACAAACAGCAATGTGGGTGGAGACAGCAGTTTACAAACAGCAGTGTGGGTGGAGACAGCAGTTGACATACAGCAGTGTGGGTGGAGACAGCAGTTGACATACAGCAGTGTGGGTGGAGACAGGAGTTGACAAACAGCAATGTGGGTGGAGACAGCAGTTTACAAACAGCAGTGTGGGTGGAGACAGCAGTTGACATACAGCAGTGTGGGTGGAGACAGCAGTTGACATGCAGCAGTGTGGGTGGAGACAGCAGTTGACATACAGCAGTGTCAGTGGAGACAGCAGTTGACATACAGCAGTGTCAGTGGAGACAGCAGTTGACATGCAGCAGTGTGGGTGGAGACAGCAGTTGACATACAGCAGTGTCAGTGGAGACAGCAGTTGACATACAGCAGTGTGGGTGGAGACAGGAGTTGACAAACAGCAGTGTGGGTGGAGACAGGAGTTGACATACAGCAGTGTTGGTGGAGACAGTAGTTGACATACAGCAGTGTGGGTGGAGACAGGAGTTGACAAACAGCAGTGTGGGTGGAGACAGGAGTTGACAAACAGCAGTGTGGGTGGAGACAGGATTTGACATACAGCAGTGTGGGTGGAGACAGGAGTTGACATACAGCAGTGTGGGTGGAGACAGCAGTTGACATACAGCTGTGTGGGTGGAGACAGGAGTTGACATACAGCAGTGTGGGTGGAGACAGGATTTGACATACAGCTGTGTGGGTGGAGACAGGAGTTGACATACAGCAGTGTGGGAGGAGACAGGAGTTGACATACAGCAGTGTGGGTGGAGACAGGAGTTGACATGCAGCAGTGTGGGTGGAGTCAGCAGTTGACATGCAGCAGTGTGGGTGGAGACAGCAGTTGACAAACAGCAGTGTGGGTGGAGACAGCAGTTGACATACAGCAGTGTGGGTTGAGTCAGCAGTTGACATACAACAGTGTGGGTGGAGACAGGAGTTGACATACAGCAGTGTGGGTGGAGACAGTAGTTGACATACAACAGTGTGGGTGGAGACAGTAGTTGACATACAGCAGTGTGGGTGGAGACAGGATTTGACATACAGCAGTGTGGGTGGAGACAGCAGTTGACATACAGCAGTGTGGGTTGAGTCAGCAGTTGACATACAGCAGTGTGGGTGGAGTCAGCAGTTGACATGCAGCAGTGTGGGTGGAGACAGGAGTTGACAAACAGCAGTGTGGGTGGAGACAGCAGTTGACAAACAGCAGTGTGGGTTGAGACAGCAGTTGACATACAGCAGTGTGGGTGGAGACAGCAGTTGACATACAACAGTGTGGGTTGAGACAGCAGTTGACATGCAGCAGTGTGGGTGGAGACAGCAGTTGACATGCAGCAGTGTGGGTGGAGACAGCAGTTGACATACAGCAGTGTGGGTGGAGACAGTAGTTGACATACAGCAGTGTGGGTGGAGACAGGAGTTGACATACACCAGTGTGGGTGGAGACAGGAGTTGACATACAGCAGTGTGGATGGAGACAGCAGTTGACATACAGGCATGTAAAGTGTGGGTGGAGACAGGAGTTGACGTACAGGCATTTAAAGTGTGGGTGGGGGAGGAGTTGACTTACAGGTGTGGAAAGTGTGGGTGGGGGCCGGAGTTGATGTACAGGCATGTAAAGTGCGGGTGGAGACAGCAGTTGACATACAGGCATGTAAAGTGTGGGTGGAGACAGCAGTTGATATACAGACATGTAAAGTGTGGGTGGGGGCCGGAGTTGACATACAGGCATGTAAAGTGTGGGTGGAGACAGCAGTTGACATACAGGCATGTAAAGTGTGGGCGGGGGAGGAGTTGACTTACAGGTATGTAAAGTGTTGGTGGAGACAGCAGTTGACATACAGGCATGTAAAGTGTGGGTGGAGACAGGAGTGGACGTACAGGCATGTAAAGTGTGGGCGGGGGAGGAGTTGACGTACAGGCATGTAAAGTGTTGGTGGGGGCAGAAGTTGACCTCAGGCATTTAAAGTGTGGGTGGGGGAGGAGTTGACTTACAGGTGTGGAAAGTGTGGGTGGGGGCCGGAGTTGACTTACAGGCATGTAAAGTGTGGGTTGGGGAGGAGTTGACTTACAGGTATGTAAAGTGTGGGTTGGGGAGGAGTTGACTTACAGGTATGTAAAGTGTGGGTTGGGGAGGAGTTGACTTACAGGTATGTAAAGTGTGGGTGGGTGCAGGAGTTTACTTACAGGTGTGTAAGGTGTCTGTGGGGGCAGGAGATGACTTACAGGTGTGTAAAGTGTGGGTGGAGAAAGGAGTTGACATACAGGCATGTAAGGTGTGGGTGGGGTCAGGAGTTGACATACAGGCATGTAAAGTGTGGGTGGGGTCAGGAGTTGACGGACAGATGTGTAAAGTGTTGGTGGAGACAGGAGTTGACGTACAGGCATGTAAAGTGTGGATGGTGTCAGGAGTTGACGTACAGGCATGTAAAGTGTGGATGGGGTCAGGAGTTGATGTACAGGTGTGTAAAGTGTTGGTGGAGACAGGAGTTGACGTACAGGCATGTAAAGTGTGGATAGGGTCAGGAGTTGACGTACAGGTGTGTAAAGTGTGGATAGGGTCAGGAGTTGACGTACAGGTGTGTAAAGTGTTGGTGGAGATAGGAGTTGACGTACAGGCATGTAAAGTGTGGGTGGGGACAGCAAGGCCCCATGGACAGCTGCTCCTAGTCCTGTTGCACTCAATGACACCAGGTAGTAATGTGTTATGGGCTTTTGACATGGTCCCTGCTTTCTCAAAGTCTTTTTATAGTAATCCATTGGCCCTATTGTTATAAATAATGGACATTATAAAGAGCCATGCATACGCTAGAGGCATGCTGTGACTTAGTGGGAACATTTAGCTGTGTTAGATCTAAGGTCACATGCCGGCCCACTTGGTTGCTCCCACTGACACAAGGAGATATATATATGAATATCTAATTACAAGCTCTTGTATCAGGTAAGAACATTGCCTTTCTCCACCCATATCTCCACATGTTGATCTGAGGTATACAGTTGCCTCCAGGGTTGTTGTAGTGGTATTGTGACAGTGTGTTAGGGATAAAGGTCACAGGTCACATAGAAACACCTGTCTCAGTCCAGCCTGACTACCAGCTCTGAGTAACCCGATACCCACCCAACCAACAACCCCCCCCCCCCCCCCCCCCCCCCCCACTTGCTCAGTCACTGTTGACCAGGCACACAACTGTCAATTTATTGTTAAATGTGCAGTCACTTGCTGAAGGTATCCTCAACATGTATTGTTAAACAAGACGGCTTAAATCTTCCATTCATACAGTGTTGACCACTGTGGCTGTGTACGCCTGTGTTGAACAGTGAGCGTGTTACTGCGTTGATCAGTGAGTGTGTTACTGTGTTGAACAGTGAGTGTGTTACTGTGTTGAACAGTGAGTGTGTTATTGTGTTGAACAGTGAGTGTGTTACTGTGTTAAACAGTGAGGGTATTACTGTGTTGATCAGTGAGTGTGGTACTGTGTTGAACAGTGAGTGTGTTACTGTGTTGAACAGTGAGTGTGATATTGTGTTGAACAGTGAGTGTGATATTGTGTTGAACAGTGAGTGTGTTACTGTGTTGAACAGTGAGCATGTTACTGTGTTGAACAGTGAGTGTGTTACTGTGTTGAACAGTGAGTGTGTTACTATCTTAAACAGTGAGTTTGTTATTGTGTTGAACAGTGAGTGTGTTACTGTCTTGAACAGTGAGTGTGTTAGTGTCTACAATGCCTGTGTTGAACAGTGAGTGTGTTACTGTGTGCAAGGCTTGTGTTGAACAGTGAGTGTGTTACTTTGTACAACACCTGTGTTGGAAAGTGAGTGTGTTACTGTGTGCAAGGCTTGTGTTGAACAGTGAGTGTGTAACTGTGTGCAAGGCTTGTGTTGAACAGTGAGTGTGTAACTGTGTGCAAGGCTTGTGTTGAACATTGATTGTGTAACTGTGTGCAAGGCTTGTGTTGAACAGTGAGTGTGTAACTGTGTGCAAGGCTTGTGTTGAACAGTGAGTGTTTAACTGTGTGCAAGGCTTGTGTTGAACAGTGAGTGTGTAACTGTGTGCAAGGCTTGTGTTGAACATTGATTGTGTAACTGTGTGCAAGGCTTGTGTTGAACATTGAGTGTGTTACTGTGTGCAAGGCCTGTGTTGAACATTGATTGTGTAACTGTGTGCAAGGCTTGTGTTGAACATTGATTGTGTAACTGTGTGCAAGGCTTGTGTTGAACATTGAGTGTGTAACTGTGTGCAAGGCTTGTGTTGAACATTGATTGTGTAACTGTGTGCAAGGCTTGTGTTGAACATTGAGTGTGTAACTGTGTGCAAGGCTTGTGTTGAACATTGAGTGTGTTACTATGTGCACGGCCTGTGTTGAACAGTAAGTGTGTTTCTGTGAGCAAGGCTTGTGTTGGCTAGTGAAGCCTGAACGTGATGAGCGCAGCACAGTTAGACGGCAATGCTGCAAGTCATGCTCAGCATGAAACTACTGGCATGTGAAGAGGTATTATTGTCAGGTGTTGCAATTTGTTTGAGCAGTGGGGGGTAAATGCTTTCATGATTGATCATTACCATATTTACCTGTCATAATAGCATATTTCTTTTAACAGCAGTATTTTGTTATCATTCACTAGTAAATGTTTAAGAACGTCCACTTTTGTTGAGGCACATTGAGTGTGTCCAGGGAGTCCAGTGTGAGTTGTTACATATCCAAAAATCTTAACCAAAGAGGGAATGTATCTACACTGTAAAAGGGTAGAAGGGGGAAAATATCTACACTGCAAAAGGGTAGAAGGGGGGAAATATCTACACTGCAAAAGGGTAGAAGAGGGAATATATCTACACTGTAACAGGGCAGAAGAGGGAATATATCTACATTTTAACAGGGTAGAAGAGGGAATATATATACTCTGTAACAGGGTAGAAGAGGGAAAATATCTACACTGTAACAGGGCAGAAGGGAGAAAATATCTACACTATAACAGGGCAGAAGAGGGAATATATCTACACTGTAACAGGGTAGAAGAGGGAAAATATCTAAATAGAAACAGGGCAGGAGAGGGGAAATATCTACTCTGTAACAGGGTAGAAGATTGAATATATCTACTCTGTAACAGGGTAGAAGAGGGAATATATCTACAGTGTAACAGGGCAGAAGGGAGAAAATATCTACACTGTAACAGGGTAGAAGAGGGAAAATATCTACACTGTAACAGGGCAGGAGAGGGGAAATATCTACAGTGTAACAGGGCAGAAGGAAGAAAATATCTACACTGTAACAGGGAAGAAGAGGGAAAATATCTACATTGTAACAGGGCAGGAGAGGGGAAATATCTACAGTGTAACAGGGCAGAAGGCAGAAAATATCTACACTGTAACAGGGTAGAAGAGGGAATATATCTACTCTGTAACAGTGTAGGAGAGGGAAAATATCTACAGTGTAACAGGACAGAAGGGAGAAAATATCTACACTGTAACAGGGTAGAAGAGGGAAAATATCTACACTGTAACAGGGCAGGAGAGGGGAAATATCTACAGTGTAACAGGGCAGAAGGGAGAAAATATCTACACTGTAACAGGGTAGAAGAGGGAAAATATCTACATTGTAACAGTGTAGAAGAGGGAATATATCTACACTGTAACAGGGTAGGAGAGGGAAAATATCTACAGTGTAACAGGACAGAAGGCAGAAAATATCTACACTGTAACAGGGTAGAAGAGGGAAAATATCTACACTGTAACAGGGCAGGAGAGGGGAAATATCTTCTCTGTAACAGGGTAGGAGAGGGAAAATATCTACAGTGTAACAGGACAGAAGGGAGAAAATATCTACACTGTAACAGGGTAGAAGAGGGAATATATCTACTCTGTAACACTGTAGAAGAGGGAAAATATCTACACTGTAACAGGGCAGGAGAGGGGAAATATCTACTCTGTAACAGGGTAGAAGAGGGAATATATCTACTCTGTCACAGGGTAGAAGAGGGAAAATATCTACAGTGTAACAGGGCAGAAGGGAGAAAATATCTACACTATGACAGGGTAGAAGAGGGAAAATATCTACATTGTAACAGGGCAGGAGAGGGGAAATATCTACTCTGTAACAGGGTAGAAGAGGGAATATATCTACACTGTAACAGGGTAGAAGAGGGAAAATATCTACATTGTAACAGTGTAGAAGAGGGAATATATCTACACTGTAACAGGGTAGAAGAGGGAATATATCTACAGTGTAACAGGGCAGAAGGGAGAAAATATCTACACTGTAACAGGGCAGAAGAGGGAATATATCTACACTGTAACAGGGTAGAAGAGGTGATGTGAGCTGAAATGGAAATGAACATCACTTTCAAGATTATTGCACTTATGTAGGGATATACATGCTTGTGACTTATAAGGCTGTGAAATATTTCCTCCTTTGACTAGAGTGATATACATATTTTTTACTACGACCAGGGTGAAGTGTTTAACAACTGCGGCTAGTCTGAGACGTATTCCTTTATATCCTAAAATTAGTGTTAGATATATTCCCTACTAAAACTATAGAGTGAGATGTATTCCCTTCTAAAACTGGATTAAGACGTATTTCCTACTTAGATTTATATAAATCTGAGTCATATTCCCTACTAAGACTGGATTGAGACATACTCCCTACTAAGACAAACAAGAGTGAGATGCATCCCCTACTAAGACTAGAGTGAGATATAGTCCCTCCTAAGACTGGTTTAAGACGGAAATCGGAAATTCGTGATGATTCGGCCAATAATGCAAACCTTCGTGGTTTCAGATTGAAAAGTATGAAGAATGCCAGGAATGGGTTAAGAAACATGTACAAATTACAAGATTCATCTACGGATCATGCACAAATTGTAAGAATCACCTACGAATATGCTGAATGTTGTTCTTACTTACTTAATTCTTACATGATTCGTAGTTGACTTAGGACATTCGTGGCGGTTTCGGGATGTTTTTGGGTTGAGGACAAGAAATTTTGGGAGCCACAAATCGCTAAGAATAGCAAAGAATTCAAAAGAATCAATTAGGAAGCTGTTATGGAAGTAATTACAAATGGATTATGATACAGCCACGAAATTACAATTTGGGGACCCTTCCACGAAAGTTTTTGACAAACAGTAACTTTCTCGCCGAATTGACGAACTCCCGTGAACTGTATGAATGTTTTGGAATCAAATAAGATTCATTTAAGAACTTCAAGAAATGATTCAGATTTATCAACGAACATGAAAAAATTCCTATTCAGGGTGATTTGGGATATTCGTGGTCGTAGTGAAATGGGGGCATAAGACTAAAGTGAGATGTATTCCCCACTAAGACTAGTGTGAGATGTATTCCCTACTAAGACCAGTGTGAGACATATTCCCTACTTAGACTTATATAATTCTGAGATGTATTCCCTACTAAGAGTAGGATGAGACATAATCCCAATTGTGACTAGACTGCTAGTCATTCTCCCAACAACCTGTAGGAGTGTCAGTAAGTGTTCAAATCACATCTGACCATTTGATCCAGCAGCTGTGGTCTGCAAACAGTGTGTAAGCACATGACAGCGGGCATGTAAACAGCCTACTGGGATCAAGAACAGTCTAGCTTGAGTAATTCCTTCTGTATTCACACAGTACTTTTATGAAACACAGGGCTGGGCTTGCTGGCAATAAGTGGTTGCTAGTAAATATTTGTCATGCCTTGGTTGTTGATGAGTATAAAGAGTTTGTCTAAAGATAGCTCCCATGGCCAAGGCCCCAGCTTCAAGAAGTGCTGCCAGCTGAAGGAGTGAGCAGTGACTGTCAACACAAGTCAGTCATCACGGGGAGGAGTATTATGTACCTATACAAATAAACCCTAGTCCCTCACCATGGTGTAGCTATTGTAGGGTATAAGTAATCACTTGATGCCCCAATGTTTATGCTAGTGGTGAAGATGGGAGCAAAGTAAAT